CTCAATGCAGACTAATGGTTGTCAATTATCTAAATTACTACCTTTCTAATATTGAATTTTTTTTAACCCATTAAGACTGTTGTAACCTTACCTTTCCGGTCAGACTCAATGCAAGCAGCAATACTTTTCCTCAATGCAGCGAGTGAATTACTTGCACCAATCAGACCAGTATCTCCCCGGGATAAGTAGCTGTTAATAGTGTCATTCGTAATACGATCTGTAGTAGCTTTCACTTTCCCAATCTACATGACAGGAATATATTAAATGAGCAAGAATAAAGTTGACGACCATTCATTCAAGTGACTATAAAGGTGACAGAGAGACGAGAACAAATTAAGAAAGGGAAGTCCAATCCCCAACAAGATGCAGATGTCAGTGGTAGAGTGAAATGAAAACACCAGCACATGAAGGGCTTTAAGAAGTAGATGCACAAAAATTATCTTACAGCTGCCAGAGAACTCGGTGAAGCTTTCCTCTTTCTGCCCCTCTGAATCAAAGNTAAAAGAAAAGCATGACTAAAACCAGTCAAACAAAGGGGGAAAATCACATACACCCAAAATCAAATGAAAAGTAGACAAGCACAGATTATCAAGAGTATCAATCATTAAAAATGTAAGTATAAAACAATTGAGGCGTAGTAGTTTTTGCTATAAAATAATTGGCGAACACATAAAAACTTACAAGCGTCGAGCCTCCAAACTGGCCATGATCACCAAAAACAAAGCGTTACTTAATCACAGAAAAGGGAAGGGAAAGAAGGTTTGAGCAAGAACAACTGGGAAAGATGAAGAAAGAGACTCAAGAACCAAAATTCCACTTGGATCACAGACAGAAGAATGCAGAGAGAGAGAGAGATGGTGACAGTACCATGCAAAAGTGTAGGGGGAAAAAAAGCAAAACACTGGATTTAAATAGAGAAATGGTGGCCCCTAGTATAGCGGTAAAAATGACAATGCCATAGTTTTATCCTTGAAAATTTACCTTTTGTAAAGTATTCTTTTTGATTGAAAGTACCATAAAGAAAAACAAAAAGCAAATAAAGACGTGTTAATCTAAGTTGCTCGGACATGGGTGCGGGTGTCCGACACGGGTGCGGATCTAGAGGTCGGATCCGTCGAAATATAAATTCTAAGATTCGGGGATATGGATCCTAGTACGGATACGGGTACGGGGATCCATCTAAAAATAATTAAAATAAAATATTAAAAAAATATATATATATTTCTAAAAAATGAGAAATTTTGTGGAATACTTGTGTATAGCTTGTAAAGTGTGAAATTCTTTTTTTATTCTCAAGTTGTAGATAAGTAAAGGATTAATTTCCTAGATAAGGTATGCTATTTTCTCCAAATTTATCATAGTTTTGGTTTTGATTCGGGAATCAAATTGTATCTCGTCTCAAATTTTTCCATCCGTCGTGGTCAAAGTACCCAAAATTGTTTGACCAGATCTGATATGGATCTCATACCCACACCTGTACTAGTGTCGTGTCGACACGGGTGCGGCACCTAAACTGCCGTGTCGGAGCAAGGTGTTAATGCAGCTCAAAAGCAATGTTACAATAGAAGCCAATTCTACGAAGGAAGCACAGTAAAAGAAGATGAATGAATTGTTTGTCCGAGCCTGCGTTTTTAGGTGACAAATATACAACAACTTTTACTCCAATATTTAACCCCTAAAGCTTCGAACCAAAAGAGGTGACAAAAAAAAGACAGTGAACCTTCTTAAATTTGAGCTAATCTAATAGACCTTTTCACAATTAGACAATCACTCGTTAATTTTGACCATTTCGGTTTCTAAGCAATTTTTGAGCTNCTATATCTCTAGGAAAATGGAATACGTGTGTCTCTGCAGCTCTGTGTCTCTGCAGCTGGTAGAGAAGACGATGCACAGAGGGAACGGAACACCTTAAGGATGATCATTCGGCCATTAGTCCTAATGAGTCTAGGAAAACCCTTCTTTGTCCTAGATTAATCTTTATTTTCCAAAGAAATAATCCAACAAATGCTGTCAACTAGTTACATGATCTTGTAATTCTACATTTTATCACTTATTCCAGGTACTACACAAAATCAAAGATTTGAAGTGGGAATCTATTCCTCCAAAGTAAGGATTATTTACTTATTTTATCCAAATCGATTAATCCAGTTATACAAAGCTTACTTGACAGTTTTCAAGTACATTAACATGTAGGCAAAAATAACTATACACCAATGCAAATCAAATCTACAACATTGAATAACAAAAGCTGAAACATACCTGCTAAGAAGAAGAAAAGTACTTGACGAGAAAGCCAAGTCCAATATAACAGCAAGACACAAACCCAACATTAAAAATGCAACTCCTTAGCGTATACCAAGTATCACCCTGAACCCAAAAACGAAAAATCAACTACAACAGACGAATTTAAAGTTTAAAAATATCATATTTGCGGAGAAGGGGGGAAACTATACGGACGTTGATTCCAGGAGCCAAAGTTCCAACCTGTACTGCTTTTGCTGATGATTCTTCTTCTCTTTTACTCGATCTTTCAACTCCATATTTTGTGTGTGTCTGTGATTTGTGAGTGCTGGGTTTTTGATTGGGATTAATTAACCTCCAGAAGCAGTAAGAGAGCAATAAGGAAGATTTTGGGATTTGTAATGGGAATACCCAGTAAATTGAATCGGCCCAATCAGGTTATTGAATTGATTGTTTGATCCTATTTCTGTTACATCCTATCGAATAATTATAAGTAGTAATTTTTTAAAAAAAATTTAAAACAATCCCAATTCCCAAATCAGACCTAATAAATACTACTCCCTAAATGTATGAGATATAATGTTATATTCAAAAGTATGTAAAATAAAATATGTCATTTTAACTAATAATATTGATTTTATAAACATTCCAATTTAAGAAGTAAAGTACATTTAATTATTCAATTTTAAATTTTGATGTGATATTTTATCCATTGATTAAATTTTTATATTAGGTATTTAATACACAACAACAAACATTTTAAATTCAATTTCAAAATACAAACAATAAAATAGGGCAGAAGAGTACAATGGTCAAGATTAACTACAGTTTGAAACTATGCAATCAAAGTTTGTGACTGTTTCTGTAGTGATACAGCCACTCAAATAACTCATTCCAGGTAAATGGTGTGTATCCCTCAACAAAATCAAAAATACCGTCTTCTTGCTTTGTCCCAAGTAAAAGTCTTAAACCAAGAAGCATAGTTGGGTAATAGTAAATTAATAATGGAAGCTGCGAACATGGGGTATAGTTGCAGAAACTGGCATGCAACAAAGTATCACTGCCATATCTTGATATACCGGTCATGACTCACTGAGGCTATGGTTCCTGTCTGAGGAGAATTTGCAAATGAAGAAATTATGCCATCATGTGCTTGGTGTGGCCAAGTTCTGTGGCTCTGGTACATTGGATTCCACAGCTCCAGTAACTGCAACAATACTCGACATGTTACTTTCATTCATGAAACATCAAAAGAATCTAGGATCATCTAAAACGTTATCTGAAACACGTTTTGAGATGGTTACATGTGATTCAAGTGAATAATCCTAGGTTACATTTGTTGTTGTGCAACTATATAGAGACAATAATCAAGCCAAGTCTACAAAGAACTTATCTATGAGCTCAAAGCTTCAGCAGAACTTCTGTTAAGCATACCTCATGAGAACCAATCGCCAAGATTTGAGCGCGGTCAGGGTGGAAAGTACATGACTGGAACTTATTGCCACTGGAGCGCAGTTCATGTAAACACTTTCTTCCGCTAACACACCATATCCGTGCACTATCCTCGCTCACGGATGCCAGAAAATTCCCGCTCATATCCCAACAGATAGAACGGACATCTCCGACATGTCCCTGTATATCAGAGAAAAGGAGACCGCATTGATAGGATACAGTAATGCAGTAGATAAGAAAAGACGAGCTTGATTTGGAATAAAACATCTTACTTGTAACTGTTGTTGGATGCTGTTAGTCTCCACATCAAATATATTAATAATATTTCCTGTAGAACATGCCAAAAGGTTCCCAAATCGAGGTTGGAATCTAACCTGTCTGCTACCTCCCTGCGTTTGTACCAAGAGCAAATCAATACTATCTTTTGAATTGAGTAAAGCTAACTCTCTAGAAAGTCACTTTAGCACTGTACTTTCCCTTGTTGAATGTGATACCTATATCCGTCAAATAATATTATGAAACTCAACCCATTTATATCCTAAATGGCCTATTTG